GTGGTCTGGTCATCAGGGAGGTGCCTCGAGCTGAGACCGGAGACGGAAGGATGAGGAGAGGTTATCTGGTGATGGGGCAGGTTGGGGAGCCCTCTGAACAGAGGAAGCAGCATGTGTGAGGGCCTGAGGCAGGAGGGAGCAGGGGCATCGAAAGATCAGAGGACCTTTGGGGAAGAAAGGGAATGTGTGTGAGGGTGGGGGAAGAAGCCAGGGCTCGGCTGTAAAAGCAGTGGGAGGCTATTGAGAAGAATTTTGCAGCAGAGTGAAATAATTAGATTGTCCCTTTAAACACCCAATGATTCCCTTTTGTTCCCTTCCTGCCTCCCCTCAACATTTATTGAGTGTTGAGGCATTTCAAAGCCCTGGGAATAATCACTCATGCATGGTGTGGGCCAGGACCTCAGACTAGGAATCAGATGATCTCTCAAGTCAAAATTTCCGGTAATTTTACCAGGACGATGGAGACTGTTTCTACTCTGATAAAATTCAGATTATTACTTAAGAAATGGAGGGAAAACAATTTTTGTTCACATATGCTTAAGCCTGAGAATATGAGTGTTTATATAACTGATGTAGATGTCGGTATAAATAGGGCCATCTTCTCTGGATTGCTGCAAATAAAATGTTCTAGTAAACTTGAGTAGGGCCATCTGAAAGGATCATACCCCATGATCTGAATTGGGGGAAAAATAGTTTTAGTAATGGTTTTGTAATTAAGACTGAGATGTTTGAAATATTTGCGGGTAAGTGGGTAAGAGGAGGGCATGAGGCTGTGGCCATACTATCAAATATGCCCTTTTAAAAACATATGACTTAGGGCTTTTGTCTCAACCAAGCCTGATCATCATGGCTGACCCACTGCATGTGGCCGTATCGGGTCTTAAGGAGACAGCAGTCTGATTAGCAGGCTCTCAGATGCTGTGTATCTGTAGCGTATGGAGTGTAGATGGACATCTGTGCAGCAGAGGACAGATAACCCCAAGGTTATTGTTTGTATGCCCTGAAGGACAAGCCAGTTTTTATTTAAAACTTTTACTCTTATCCCACCATTTGTTTTTCCCCAAACTGACTGTGCGTGTGTGTTAATTAGTCATTGACACGTGCTCATTCTGTTCCCTTTTAACATTTTTTAAATTATACTTTAATTTTTTTAATGATTTGAGAGAAAGAGAAACATCAATTTGTTGTTCCACTTATTGATGCGTTCATTGCTTCTTGCATGTGCCCTGACTGGGAATCGAACTCGCAACCTTGGCGTGTCAGAAGCCTGCTCTAACCAACTGAGCTACCCAGCCAGAGCCAAAAATTATACACTTTGAAGCCCACTGTGTCATCTTGCACCTGCTGTGCATCTGGTTCTTCAATAAAAATTATTGGGTCCAGACAAACTAGAAAACTTGCACACTAGGGATCCCTGAGATTTCTGACTCAGTTTGTCTCCAGATGTGTATGCCAGAGTCTCTCATCTCTGTTCCCCTCCATAGAGAGGTGGTTCACGGTCATGATCAGCAGAATGGAAGTGCAGTTTCCTGCCTTGGAAGACCCAGGTGTGCTGAGGCTGCCCCACCATTCACCCCTGCACTCTCGTGACCCAGGGCTGGACCTGGAAGTATCCAGCATTTCTGGCTGGCTGTGCTGGCTGTAGCTTTCGTTTCTAGGCCGGTGTCCATGGCAACCAGGGGAAGAGGGACCAATTGATGGAACTGGGCCCCCTTTCCTCTGTGCCTCTTTCCTGCTGTTGGACAGGGTTTCTGGAGAAAACACCACCTGTGTGTGCAAAGAGCAGAGGGGAGCCGAAAACCCCTCTGTCAGGTCAACAGCTGTTCCAGCTGATGGCAGAATTTAGCACGTGTAAATTTTTCTGTCATCACGCAGGTAGGAGACCACGGAGCTTCCTGGGAAGAAATAGACAAAAACCCGTTTGTATTTTTTCAGTAAATACTTAATGAATAGCTTGGTCCCCATGTATATATATATAGTGGTGGCACTTGTTAATTGCCTTTCACTTAGGCCAAGATGAAGCTGTGTCACTGGCGGCTACAGCTTGCAGTCATTACTTTCTATCTGGGTCATTATTTTGTGTGAGATAATGGCTCCTGTTCCTATGACAAGTACATCTGTCTTACGATGAGTTGGTAATTAACTCATTTTGTCATTGTACCATCACACGGGATAAGCTTATGTTCCTCTCTGCGCATTAGAATTAAACTCAAAGTGATTCGAATGTTTTTTTCTTAAGAACAATGCCTCAGTATTATTTTTCCACCAAATGTTTTAAATGAGAACCTTTGGATAGAGAACATGGATAGAAGGGAGGGTAAGGCGATTTTATTATTTTCCATAATTAGGAAAAAGGAAGTCGTTTGTATCTGTGTCATGTAAAATTGGCTGAAGATGCCATAATTTACGGCCTCTCCCCATCATGGTCTTTCACCGAGGGTGAAGGGAGATGTAAAAAGATGCTCTGTTTCCTTTCAATTGGTCTAAGGATTTCTCTGTGCACTTTGACTGGTCAAATTAAATCTGGGCTGCTGCATTCTGTTTTTCCCTTTTGAATCCTGCTGTGCTCCATCCAACCAGCTCTTTATGTAAATTATTTATTATGGACCACAGAGCATTTGAAATTCAGATTTATGGGTAGACTTGGAGAGACTGTGTTTTCCGAGTCCTAGAACCGTATGCTCGAGGGAGAAAGAGTTGCGAGGCTGTGGGAGCGCAGTGCTGTCTCTGTTCCCCTGAGACAAGGCTCAGCCGCCAGGTACTCCCGGAGCCTGTCTTGCGTGGCTGGTGGGTTTGTGGGACCCCTTGGAATTTCCTGTTCTGCACAGTTCCCAGAGGATAGTAAAGGAAACAGTGGTATGGAATAAAGAGCCTACAGGTCCATCTTCAAATTACTTTGCATTCTTCAGAGCATCTTGGGAAAGAGCTTATATGTTTGGAAAGCACTTTAAAGTTGTCAGTCACTGCACACATTTTCTGGTTTGTGCTTCACAATAATTTCGTTCAGGAGGACACACTGGCAGGGGTATCTCCCTTTTAAACAGGTGAAAATTAAGCTCCGAGGGGTCAAGGGCTTTGCCCAGGAGCTGGGACAGCTGAGTGATGGAGCCTGGGCTGGTCCTTCCATAGGGAGGCATCAGTGGGTGTTAACTGGGCTCGGGTGGAACAGGCAGGTTCCCCGGCAGGGTGGCCCGGGGACGGTTTGCAGAGGTGTGGCACAGAATGAGGGCTCGAAAAATGAGGGCTAGACTCTTGCAGAGATGGAG